GCATAAGATGGCCTCTTATAAAATAAATGTTCTTAAAGGCTGCATGTTGTGTTGTAGGAATGTGGTCTCCTGCTGTCTTCAGAGGGCGAGGGCAGAGGCTGTTACCCCCTGGATGGACACATTCTCTGCAAGAGCTGCAGTGCTCACCGCATCCAAGATCTTTCTGCCAAAATCTCCACTGACTGCTAACACCCCGTCCTGTCTCCCTGTCTGAGCCCTTTCTATCCTTCAAGGTTACTTTTCAGAATGTACCGCTATCTAAACATCCACCACCTGCTGTTTCTCACTCACTAAACAACCACTGCACAAACAATATGAAGACGTCCCTCTCAGGGTAGCATAGAGCCAAACAAAACTGCTCTAGTGCTTAGATTAGTTTCACTGGAAAACTGTTTTTCTTTAATCATATACAAAAACAGGTGGTGAATGAAATATGATGGTGTTTTATGTATATATACAAAATGTGAGACTTGTGAATAGTGCATTTCTACCTTCACTGTGTTTTTACAACCCTCAACCAACATGGAGAAATAGAAACTTCACACTTTTCCTTAAACAATGCCCCAATTCTGCTGGCAGTTGGGGTCACTTTGTCCCCCATCGAGATGCTGATTTTATGTCACAGATGTCCATTAGTCCTTGCCAGAATGTGAGGTTTTTCTCCTGTGACCCTCAACGCAAATCTGATGCTTAATATTTTAATACTTGAAATCATGATTGTTGAAGGATATGATCACTGCGTTTTATTTACTGACTTGATATTTCTCCATTATCGTTATAATCATCATAATTCTAGTGATAATTGTGGTAAAAAGGTGAAAAAGTTAACCACGGGCAGCTGTTTTCCCTCCAGACAGTCACTAGCTTTAGGTTTACGCTGATTTCTGTGCTGTTACAAGATGTAGATAGGGATAAAGGGTCAGTGTGTATCATAGCCGCAGTGAAGGAAATCTTTGTTCAGGATTTGTATTGGATGTGAGTTTTCTGCTATTCTTAGCGGTTTTGTTTTGGCAGGAGAATGGATGATTCTGCGAATAGTGAGTGATTAGAGAGGAATCTATTAGGTTAGATGAATGACGAATGTATTGCTCATAAACTTAGTCACAGTTTTGCTACTAAATATATGGTGATTAATGACTAACCGAGGATATTTGGACAAGTATGAAGGTTATAAGAAAGTAAAGTATAGAGATTTGATGAGATTGTTACTGGCTGGCTTTATTTTTTTACACCTCTTTTTTGTGTCAAAGTGCATTTTTAATGGTCTGTTATTTGAACGCGCGACCGCAGGCATCCATTACTTTAAAACAAGGTTTCAAATAAGGTGTTGATTGTTTGAAGCGGAATAATGAAACGCTAGTGTTTGCACTGACGAGTAGTTACAATTATCTAGAAACTAAAAGCGTAAAGTGGTACAGATGGCTGCATGCTTTATTTATTAATTTGTCTGGATTTTTTTGTAAGTTTGTCCCAACATAGCGCCAATCTGATTGATTTGCTGCCAAAAGAAAACTTTTTGCTAAACCTGTCATCATTGTAGATGATTGCTGATTGCTAAAGTGCCCCTGCTACTGCACGGTTTGTTTTAACGCCTGATGTGCTTTTATTTTTCAGTGTTTTTTTTTTTTTTTTTTTGGAGGGGTTGGGGTGAGTTTTCTTTTTGTTTTTTTATTGACATTGATTGTAGGGACAAAAAGATCAGCTTCATAAATTCATCTGTTTGTACTGCAGCTGTGCATTGGTTTTTAAGTTTGTACTGAGCGTTGTTATTGAGTTTTTGATTTTATGGTCTGTGAAGAAAACAAACATAATGTTTTGGAGTTCTCTCCTCGTACCTCGCTTATGTCTCCTCAGTCAAACACACCTAATTCAGATCATCAGCTCATTAGCAGAGACTGAAAGACCTGTAATGGATGTGACAGACAAAGGAGACATCCGAACCATGCCGTGTTTGTGGTCCTCCAAAAACGTGATCTGATCAAAGATGATTTGACAGATCCTGAATCTTTTAACCTTATAACTGATCTCTGGCTCATTTGGTTCTTCAAACAAGTTTGCAAATTAGATTAAAATGTCTGGATGAACTGATCTGAGAAGTCTGCATGTGTTGTGAAGGACTGATCTATTAATCCTCGAAATTATGATCAGCAATGCAACGATTGGTTGATGGCACAGCAGTGTAATAAGATCATCTTATTAATATTCAATTACCCATATTAGCAAAATTACATTAAATTCGTAGTAAACGATTTCTTAAATATGATACGCTGTGACTTATGGGCTGTCAAGAGTATTCAGCAATTTATTTAGTTTTACATTTTGAGCGTTTTTAAAATTTTTATTATAGTTGGCCTATTCAAGTATTAAGGAATAAATGGCTGTTTAACCTAATTCTGCATCAAAAAAGCATTTTGATATTGGAAAAGGTGTCTGCATCTTTTGCGAAGCATCAAATCACCGGCATCTTAGCTGTCAAAACAATGACTGCATAAATTATTATTCCTTTAAAAAAAATGAAAACAGTTTAATATTTTGCAAGTCTATTATCATACACAAATTTGACTAAAGCTGGTACTAGGGATGCTCCGATCAGGATTTTTGCAGCCGATACAGAGTACTGATTCCTTGTCATGGTGATCGGTCGATACCGAGTACAGATTCTAATGCTTCAAGCTTTATTATGCATAAAGCACATTTTCAGTCCAAGTATGATGCTTTGGTTGAGACCTTGCTTTACCTCAGAGAATAAATTACAGATGCTGCATATAATTCCTGAAACATGTCACTTATAACCATTTAGTGTGGACATGTCATGGTCTGAAGCAACTTTATAGAACAAAATAGATAAAACTAATAAAGCAATTTGGAAACCTTGCAAATCATGGAAGAGAAATTCAACATGTCTCAATGAAATTTGGAATAAACTACTACATATTACAATATGTATATTACAATAAGTTATATTATTAAATATTCAAGTTAAACAATCCTAATCCTAATATTTCTAGACAGAATTTAATGAACTTGCAATATTGTTGAAAACACAGAACATTCAGTTTTGATATGTAAAAAGATTTCAGTTCTTCAGTTCTACTCATAAACAAACAATTGTGATCGGTTAATGAGATCGGCCAGATTAGCGAGTACCAATGGAGTCATGAAATGTGATTATCGACCAATACCGATTTCTGGCTAATCAATCGGAGCATCCCTAGCTGGTACCTTAAAATAGTAGATAGCGTTTGTATCTAAAAAGTTTATATTAATAAATGTTCTCTTTGAAGCCCTTGGGGAGAACGACCCTGTGACAGTCTTTTTAGGCTCTACTATTATTTATGCAGATTGCACAAGGTTTATTTATATATTTTTAAAACTATAAATATATATTTTTCAACTGTGTGTGTGTGTATATTAACTATTTACTATTTTCCCAAGTGTAAATAACTAGTACTGTAAGAAAATATCAGCATTCGGTACATATTAAATATGTACTACCTTTGAAAAGACCAAATCTAATCCTGTTTATGTAAGATAAGCCTGCTCCCGAGCATGTTTGAGCAATGAGTTTTAAAGAACGAAACAATACTTATAAAGGAGGTCGTAAAACAGCGCAAAACAGCGCCTTGCATTTTATAATTCTAAACATAGGTTTCTACACAGGCAGCGACAACTCAAGACACTGTTCTTTCTGCCGTGCCACAGAGCGCCATCTGAATAGTTTCATTTTAAAGTAACATGCGAATATGCGCGTCTGGTGTGCGATACTTTCAACTGTCACGAGCGGCGCATATGGTGTGCGACTCGCTTAGGACAGTGTAATGTTTAGCAATGCCAAGGTTGTGATTTTAAGCCTCACCTGGGGTCCGTTCTTCGTACGTGGATTACACAGATAGCTGGATTTGGTTATTTACTATTTGACATGATCCAGAATTGTTTCGTTCTACAAAACTCATCCAAGATGTTGTTGACATAGCAACAGTTCTGGTAGCTCAAACCTGCTCGGGAGCAGGCTTATTTTATGTAAACAGGATTAGATCGGCTCTTATCAAGCAAAGGTAATAGTGAAAGCATGTACTGAATTCTGATATATTTGTACAGTAGTAGTTATATACACTTGGGAAAATAATAAATAGTTAAATAAATAATATTTTTTTATTTAAAAGTTTAAAAATGTATATAAATAAAACTGATGCAATCTGCACTCTGAAATAAAAGTATAAAGCTGTCATGAGGTTATTCTCCCCATAAGGTTTAAAGCGAACATTTATAAATATAGATTTTTTAAGCATACTATTTTAAGATTTTAATCCAGCTTTAGTAGAATTTGTTTTTGATAATAAACATGCACAATATTAGACTTTTTTTTTTTTAGATTCACATGTTTTGTTAGCTAATATGACGGTGATTTGATGCTTGGCAAAAGTTTCAGACACCCTTACCGATATCAAATTATCCAGAGATCAGTTATTAAGATTAAAAGATCCCGAATCTGTCAAATCATCTCAGATCATTTAAGCAAGGTACGAAGAACGGACTGCTAGTGATTGTATTGAGCCAATCAGACATGAACACACATTCCCTGATCACACTTTATTACATGACTAGAAATCTAGTGATGACAAAACCTCTATATATAAACTTCATCAAACTTGAACTTGATAAATTCACTTGCAATGAGCCTAATAACACGATAATATCTAGTATACAGTGCATATATGTTCATTCAATACTAGTCAAAAAGAGATGGACACTCTTTGTACTGGAATAGTATTACAGGTGGCACTATGTGCGCTGGTGAATTTTTAATTGTTAAATACAGATACTATAAGACAAAATGAGGAACATATATATAAATCCTAATCCATCATGTATAGGAAGCTAAACGACCTTCAAAAGCATCCTCTAATACAGTGTTTCTTAACCACGTTCCTGGTGGACCACCAGCACTGCATGTTTTACATGTCGCCTTTATCTGTCACAAGGTGTTTCAGTTACAGGTCTTTCAGTTTCTGCTAATAAGCTGATGATCTGAGTCAGGTGTTTTTGGTTAAGGAGACCTGGAAAATGTGCAGTGATGGTGGTCCTCCAGGAACGTGGTTAAGAAACACTGCTCTAATATTAATGCCAATACAGATATTCTTGTTGAACGATTAAAGCAATTGTCAAAAATGAAAATTCTGTCATTATTTTCTCATTCAAACCTATTTGAGTTTCTTTCTTCTGTTGGACACAAGAGAAGATATTTGGAAAATGTTGGAAATGGGTAACTGTTGACTTTCAAAGAAGATGGAAGTCAATGGTTACCGCTTTCCAACTTGCTTAAAAATATCTACTTTTTGTGTTCAGCAGAAACTTCATTTGAGGTGATGGTGAGTAAATTTAAATTTTTGGGTGATCTATCCTATTCAGATGTTGAATTAACAGGACGTGAAGGTCTTCCAGTAGAAATTTCGGCAGCCTGCTTTCCGCTCTCGCTGGGAGACTGGAATCTGGCGAACCACTTCATTACGAACGTCCAGTTCATCAATGCTGTCAAGAGCATCTTTCTCTTCAGGAGTCACCGATTCAGAGAGCTGCTTCAGGAGGAGGAGACGAGAGAGATCCTGAAGCTGGAAACAGAAAACAATGAAGGTGTAGCTTGCTTTACTTATTTTTGCAGATTAGCATCAAAGCTTAACTGTGATCTGGGAAAAATATACATGTACATTTCCGGTCAGAAGTTTAGGGTCAGTAAGATTTTTAAATGTTTTAAAATAAGGTTCTCCTGCTCTCCAAGGCTGCATTTATTTTATCAACAATACAGTACAAATAGTACAATTGAGAAATGTTTTGCACAATAAAAGAACTGTTCAAAAGTAGTTTATCACTTAATTTAATCATTTATTGCAGTGATTTTAATGATGAATTTTCAGCTTCATTACAGCAGTCTTCAGAGTCACATGACCCTTCAGAAATTACTCTAATGTTTATTATCATTATTGTGATTATTATTGTTATTATTATTATTATTATTATTAATGGTAATAGTAATAAAAGCAATAATGACTGGAGTAATAATTTCATTTGAAGCTAGATACAATATGAAAGCTAATTAATTAAATTAATTTTTAATTAATTAAAGTTATTTTAATAAAATATAAAATTTTGATAAATATTTAACTATTGTTTTACATTTAATTAATGCCGCATTGATGAACTTTCAAAATTTATAAAATATAATGACAAAATAAATAATTTTCTTTAAGAAAAAAAACATGATAAAAAAACTGACCCCAAACTTTTGGCCGACACTGTATATTGTTAGTAAGTTTTACAAAAACAATTTTATTTAATATAATAACAGCTGTAGGTTTCTTTAAGTGTGGTGTTTTCATCCAATAGTAAATGTATTTCCAAATACAGTGACTGAAATACTGTCAGTCAAACTGCATATTAAACTTGATCCCACCAATTTGGAAAAGATCATCAGTTTTGTGAGATTTTCCACTTTCTTTTGGTATTTATTTACAAACAGTTTCTTTATTATTATTTTTTCAAATGAATATGTAAACATCAAAAAAAAAACTAAGCATATGAAATATGAGCACATTCCATCAATAAAAAGGTTCATAATACTATGTAAGTGGTCATATAAACATACAATTACTAATCTTAGGAAATAGTACAAAGACTAAAATATTATTGATATTTTAATAAAATTATTTTAATTAAATTATTAAGTATTTGTTTACCTAGTAAATATTTTAGAGTAGTAGTTTTGTACATTTCATAAATAAGCATCAAAGGATTGACAAGCAAAACATTACATTAAATATGAAAAATGGTGCCAATATTTTTTCGAAACTTTTCAAGGACATCAACTTAATGTAAATCTAACCTAACAGTATATATATATATATATATATATATATATATATATATATATATATATATATATATATATAATGTACAGTACTCAGCGTATACAAGTACACCCCTCAAACCTTTTATGTTAATATTTTTTAATAGGAAGCTATACAATATTATGTGTGCATGTACATAAAATTAGTCCATGCTAAAGCCAAATCTGGAGCTTATCTAACAAAATAACTTACGACAACGATCCAAAAACTAATACAGCCAAATTTGTTATAGAAAAATATTACATATAAATTTAAAAAAAGAGGAAAAATCAAGAGAAGCAAAAAAAAGAAAACATTTGTTGAAATTTTGTAGGTTGTAATAGTTTTTATTTTGCTTGAATTTAATTGTATTGTTTTTTAATTTCTAAATATGTTTGGTGGCTAAAATATTATTTTAATATATATATACGTTTAATAAATTGTTTTTTGTTTTAAATGCACCAAAATACATTGCCTATATTCACTGAGAAATGGATAAAAATACTCATTTTTAAAATGGGATGGACTCAATTATGCCAAGCACTGTATAGGCAACAAAATGTAAATTAAAATAATTGTTTTCCCGAATGTTTGATGTTAAATGAACTAAAATAATAATAACTTCAAGAATGTAAAACCCTCTTTTTTCTACAAAAATGTTCCAATAGAGTTTGTTCCATTTTAGTTTAGTTTGTAACATTTTAATATCCCAAGGCAGATTTTTCCACTATAAAGAACCTTTTGTGCACTGGAAAGATTCTGAGAATGTTAAAAGTTTTTATTTTGTGGAACCATCAACACCAATAAAAAAACTTTATTTTCAAGAGTTAACTTAATAAAAATTTATGAATAATACCTCATTCTCCTTGGGGTCCACTTGTGAGCGTAACAGCTGGAACAGCAGGTCTCCTCTGGGTGCTGAACTGACTCTGCACAGCAGCAAAGAGACCCACAGAGTCACAACCACCACCTGTAACCTGGAGAACATCCTTTCAGCTCTGCAAAACACTGGCGTTTGAAGTGATGTGGGCATTACAGGCTTTTATAAGCACCAAATTTGGCATCCTGGGGTCGACTGGCGAAAATGGAGGCAATGGAGGTGGTCGTGTCGCTGTGTGGGTGTAGAAGGGCAAAGGCTGAGGAGACATTTTGTTGATCCGGGACTCAGTAGGAAAGGCGTTTGATAAGGTCAACCCAAAGGTGTTACTTCTTCAGCAGAAGCCTTATCAATTCTGTCTCATTTCCAATAATAGGCTACATTGGGTAAAGTGGATCAGTTGGAACAGGACTATCTTCGTGTTTGACGGGAGAAAGTGTTATTAATTAAGTGTGGGGGGGCTAATGAACTGTTAGGGTGTTCATTATCGAAGGGTGATGATCGCATTGTGCACTAGTGGGCCTTCAGGTGTCACTTGCAATTTGGAGAAGACGCTGTTTCTGTGTCTTGCTCTCTCTATGAGGCCCTCATTAGGATGAGGAATTAATGATGCGAAGTGACTCAAATGTTAATTGGTCTGCTTAGTCATTAGTTCACTCCGTCCTCCATCTCCGTAGATACGCACATGAGAAAATAGTACAGTAATTTATAGTAAATAATACAATAGCGTTTCTGAACCATACTTTAGTATTAAACACTATGTATCATTGTGTTTACAACTCTTTGTTGCTATAGCATATACTGTAGTATCAACTAGTGAGCAGATACCGATAAATACTGTAGTATACAGTGCATCTGGAAAGTACTATAGCGCTTCATTTTTTCCACATTTTTTTATGTTACAGCCTTCTTCCAAAATGGATAAAATTAATTTATTTCCTCAAAATTCCACACGCAATAGCCTATAATGACAATGTGAAAAAAGTTCTCCAAATTGTTGCAAATTTATTAAAAATAAAAACCTGAAAAATCACATGTGCATCAGTATTCACAGCCTTAATTGGAGCTCGGGTACTTTCTGTTTCCACTGATCATTCTTGAGATGCTTAAGCAGCTTCATTGGAGTTCACCTGTGGTAAATCCAGTTGATTGGACATGATTTGAAAAGGCATACACCTGTCTATATAAGGTCCCAGGGTTGACAGTGCATGTCAAAGCACCAACCAAGCATGAAGACGAAGGAATTCACTGTGGACTTCCGAGACAGGATTGTCTTGAGGCACAAGGCTGGAGAAGGTTACAGAAAAATTTCTGCTGCTCTAAAAGTTCCAACGAGCACAGTGGTCTCCACCATCTGTAAGTGGAAGATGTTTGGAACCACCAGGACTCTTCCTAGAGCTGGCCGGCCATCTAAGCTGAGTGATCGGGGGGAAAGGGCCTTAGGGAGGTGATCAATAGCCCAATGGTCACTCTGTCTGAGCTCCTGCATTCTTCTGTGGAGAGAGGAGAACCTTACAGAGGGACAACCATCTGTGAAGCAATGCACCAATCAGACATGGATGGTAGTGTGGCCAGACGGAAGCCACTGCTCGTCTGGAATTTGCCAAAATGCATCTGAAGGAATAAGAATCAAAATTCTCTGGTCTGATGAGTCTAAAATTGAACTCTTTGGAGAGAACTAGACTCCGCTCATTCATTCATTTTCTTGTCGGCTTAGTCCCTTTATTAATCCGGGGTCGCCACAGCGGAATGAACCGCCAACTTATCCAGCAAATTTTTTTTTACGCAGCGGATGCCCTTCCAGCCGCAACCCATCTCTGGGAAACATCCTCACATACATTCACACACACACTTTTACACTATGGACAATTTAGCCTTCCCAATTCACCTGTACCGCATGTCTTTGGACTGTGGGGGAAACCAGAGCACCCGAAGGAAACCCACGCAATGGCAGGGAGAACATGCAAACTCCACACAGAAACGGCAACTGAGCCGAGGTTCGACCCAGCGACCTTCTTGCTGTGAGGCGACAGCGCTACCTACTGCGCCACTGCCTCGCCTGACTCCGCTCATCACCAGGCTAATACCATCCTGATACCATGGTAATGTTTTTCAACAGCAGGAACTAGAAGACTGATCAGGGTAAAGGGGGAAATGAATGCAGCAATGTACAGAGACATCCTGAATGAAAACCTGCTTCATAGTGCTCTTGACCTCAGACTGGGGCGACGGTTCTTCTTCCAGCAGGACAATGACCCAAAGCGCACCGCCAAAATATCAATGGAGTGGCTTCACAACAACTCGGTGAATGTCCTTGAGTGGCCCAGCCAGAACCCAGACCCAGACATCTCTGGAGAGATCTAAAATGGCTGTACACTGTCACTTACCATCCAACTTGATAGAGCTGGAGAGGTACTGCAAAAATGAACGGACAAAAATTTCCAAAGACAGGTGTGCCAAGCTTGTGGCATCATATTCAAAAAGACTTAATTGCTGTAATTGCTGCCAAAGGTGCATCAACAAAGTATTGAGCAAAGGCTGTGAATGCTGATGTTTACTATTTACTACATGTAAATACTACATGTGCTACTTTACTACATAGTAATGTAGTATTTACTACATTATGTAAATACTACATGTACTACTTGTAAGATTTCAGGTTTTATTTTTAATAAATTTGCAACAATTTCAAAAACATGGGGTATTGTGTGTAGAATTTGAGGAAATAAATTAATTTAATCCATTTTGGAATAAGACTGTAACATAAAAAAATGTGGAAAAAATCAGGCGCTATGAATACTTTCCGGATGCAACATATCTTATGCTGTATATAAAACTCTCCATACTGTAGTAGTCCAACTATAGTGAGCTGAGGAATGCTTATAAATATTGTTGTGTAATTTGTTTTTTTACTACAGTAAACTCTGGTGTGTTGTAGAGTAATATACTGTATAGTTGAAGAGAACATTATTGAATAGTTTACTAAAGTTATATTAATACCAAAACAGACACTTTAGTATGGTTGAAAACATTACACCTAATAATTAATTGTGTTTTTTTATGCAGCTGTAAATTCATTCAGATTTGTACTGTATGTAAGTCTTGCGTATCTGATCTTATGTGATGTTCTGATATTAGACGTGTGCATCTGATGTTATTATAATGCTCATAAACCAGGACATTGAGATCACCGAGGGCAATTACTCAGACTTGGTGTACTCAATGGGTGGCCATTAACATTTAGAAGGTAGAGGTGGGCACAGCAGCGCTATGGTCATCACGCTGGGCACGTAAATGAGAACCAGCTCTTCCTTGATTTAATATGCATAATATGAGAAAGTGTTACATTTATAGTTAGTTTACAGATTTTTTTGTGGAAGACGACTCTTTCCTTTTGTTTCTTTTATAATATTAGAGTGGCAAACAATCTGATGTTTTCTTACTCATGCTGGAAAGAGATAAATAAATGTAGTTCTACTGTATTTATTTATTTGTCTATTCATAATGTTACTGTTGCTTTTACGTGTTAATGTTTTATTTATTCATTCATTTACTTGTTTATTCTTTCTTTTTTTACATAAATATTGATTTTATACTTTTGTATACATATACAAATACTCTTACTGTTAGAAATCAATTTACAGCCCATTTTCAGCTATTTACACACCTTCTTGCAATATCTAACCTTGTGCGGACATTCATTGACAAAACATAACCTTAATCCAGTTGTAATCTTAAACCTAAAATCAATTCTTTACCATCAAACAGCCCTTTGAAGACATATCAGAAAATCAATAATGTATATTCAATAAAAAATATTTAATTAGATTAATAATATTTTTGCATAGACATAAAAGTTATTATAAACTTTTACTTTTTTTACTTTACCACATGGATCCTTTCATTTTCTTTTCGGCTTAGTCCCTTTATTAATCTGGGGTCACCACAGTGGAATAAACTGCCAACTTATCCAGCATACAGTTAAAGTCAGAATTATTAGCCTCCTTTTATATTATGATATTTCCCAAATGATGTTTAATAGAGCAAGGAAATTTTCACAGTATCTCTGATAATGTTTTTTTCTTCTGGAGAAAGTCTTATTTGTTTTATTTCAGCTAGAATTAAAGCAGTTTTTAATGTTTTAAAAACCATTTTAAAGTCAAAATTATTAGCCCCTTTAAGCTATATTTTTCCATATAGTCTACAGAACAAACCATTATTATCCAATAACTTGTCTACTTATCCTAACCTCTAATTAACCTAATTAAGCTACTTAAGCCTTTATAATGGCTTATTGTGTACTCTCAGTTAAGCAAATTGGATAAAAAATAATTCAGGGAGGCTAATAATTCTGACGTCAACTGTATATGTAATATTATGAATAATAACTGGTCTACGAGAAGTTCACACACAGTGAAAGAATGTTAAGCATTTGTTCGTTCATTCATTCATTCACTCGTTTGTACATTTTTTTTTTTAAACTGGGTTAAAAAACTATTTCAAGACTGACCTGGCCAAGATATGCAAAACATAACAGTTATTTAAATACGAAGAAAGAAAAGAAGAAAGACTTAACACAACATGACTTTTTTATTTTATTTTATTTTTTATTAACAACAAATACAGAATACAGTAATATATAAAAAAAATATATATGCCAGAGTGTACATAAAACATTCTGTATGTTCATAAAATACATAAATTTTTATTAACGATGTTCTCCAAAGCTGTGCAATCGTCTCTTGAATGAAATGAACAAAATTTGGCTTTGATCCAGTCCATTATTTTGTGTGTATGAAACTTTTCCTAAGTAATTAAAGCTGTGCTAGGATGGTAAATTTGTTGCCTGTATTGACATAATAAATGCAAATATCAAAATTTTGTAACTTTTTTTTTCCACATCCACCCAGAAAAGCCCTGTATATACACAATCAAACATTTGGACTATAGATTTTTTTCCATGCAACAAAAATCACAGGAATAGTCATTATCCAAATTAAATCTCTCTAAACCAGAGATGCCCAAACTAGGGCCCGCGGGCCAAAGTTGACCCATTGTATCTTTTAATTTGGACCACCGTCCCATCTAAGAGCAGAGTAAGAATGATGAAGAGGGTTGGGGCCAATGCCTTTAACACAGAGATCATCATTTCTAATTTGATGTCATTTGTGTGTTTTATTGCAGGGCTACAAAAAAGCAAATTGAAATTAAATGTTTCCATTAAATGTTGTAAATGAATCAGTTTTTTTACAGTATTGGACAAAGGACTAGGCAGCAGACATCTGCGAGCAAATCGAGGCAAAAACTAGTGTAATTCTGTTAGAAGTTAGAATGTTTTGCTCTTATAACATGTAAATAAATACTGTATTAGTTATCATAGAGCAATGTTTTCTAGTCATTTTTTTTATATTATAAAAGTAAATTATGAAATTACCCATGGCAACTTTATTTACCTTCGGCCCACAAGCCCTTAATAAGAAAAAGTTTGGGCACCCCAGCTCTAAAACCACTCTAGCTGGATATATACAATGGCAAATCTTAAATGTAACCTCTTTTACTTTGTTATTTATACAATATATTTCATAAGAACACCCAGCTTCTTTTCAATTTATGTTTATAAATACATTGGTCCATTTCTAATTATTATATATAACTGAATCACCTGTTATAATATTATTTATAATATAATCTATTATATTTATTGGTATAATTGTTTAATAATATCAATATCTCCTAAAAAGAAAAGGTTTTCATTACTTATTTTCCTTCTAAAGGTATATTTCCATACCCTCTTATGAAGTGAAGAACCAGATTTATCTAAAAATTCACCATTAAAGATCATAATATTATATTATATAATATAAGATAATAAATTACCATTTAAATTTCTAAGTTGTCTAATTAGTGCAATATCATTTTCATACCAATTTTGACTCAACGTGACTTATAATTTGAAGTGATTGCAGCGCCGCTGTCATCAGTCTGCGCATGCGCCTGTCACAGAGCAGGAAGTAATTGTTCCAAACTGTCAACAGTCCAACACAGTACCAGTCACGGCCACTTGAATCTGTCCTAATATTCATGTTATTTCACTTTTAAACATATTTATGTGACAGTAATGTCTCGAAAGACAAAAAAGGAGGAATATTACCGCTTCTTCTCTGTAACAGATCCACGCACACACGAGAAAGGACACACCGAATACAAAGTAACAGCAAGGGTTAGTACACAACTATTATTTGCTATGTGTACGTCTGTGTATCATAATAACCGATATGACATTGCTATTTACAGTTTTGACCTCAGATATCTGAGTGTTTTAGCTTGGAGTGGGAGGTTGTGTTGATTGTGTCATTTATTTATGTACATGTGTCATTTAAATATAATAAACAATCAATATATTTATGATTTACTCGTCAATACATTTGTGAACTTTGTTAAATATTGTTTTATAAGTACAAGAAGCATTCAGCTAGGTTTACTTATTCTTCTATGGATTGTTAATAACAAATAGTGCAAGGCATTAATGATCAGAAACTCGTGATGTAAAGGATCTGGAATGAGATCCCGTGATTTCAGAGTCTCCCCTTCCTCATTCATGCTGAAAATAATCAGCTTTTTCAAATGCTCTGCCTTTGATGTAATGTGGTTTAACCCCTCTGTCTCGTCTTCTTAGTTTGTATCAAAGACACAGCCGGAGAATGTTAAGGAGGTATGATCACGCTTGTTTGCTTGAACATCCACATGTTTGGAGTTGCACTGGACTCATGGTTGGATTGTTTGGCAGGTTGTGGTGTGGAAGAGGTACACAGAATTAAAGAAATTACATGGAGAGCTGGCCTACACTCATAGGAACCTGTTCAGGCGACAAGAAGAGTTTCCCCCTTTTCCACGAGCACAGGTTTTTGGTAAGGCCAGTGTAATACTAACAAAACCTTCATGATATTTTGTGACTTCATTTCTCTCCTCTTGGGTTTTCATCTTCATAACTTGATGTCTAAGTAAGCTTCTCTTCGCTGTGTTGTCTTGATTTTTTTTCTTTGTCTGTCTCTCTTACACACAGGGCGTTTTGATGAAGCTGTGATTGAGGAGAGGAGGAATGCAGCCGAGGCCATGCTGCTCTTCACTACAAACATTCCTGCTCTGTATAACAGCCCTCAGCTCAAAGAGTTCTTCAGGGTAAGACATAAATATATATCAAATTAAATCTATGTTTTATTAAATTTATATGGAAATATGCACAGTTGAAGTCAGAATTATTAGCCCATCTGAATTATTAGCCCCCCTGTTTATTTTTTTCCTCAATTTCTGTTTCTGTTTTCTGACGGAGAGATTTTTTAAACACATTTCTAAATAAATAATTTGAATTTAAATAATATTTGACTAGACATTTTTCAAGACACTTCTATACAGCTTAAAGTGACATTTATAGGCTTAAATAGGTTAACTAGGCAGGTTAGGGTAATTAGGCAAGTTATTGTATAATGATGGTTTGTTCTGTAGACTATGGAAAAAATAGCTTAAAGAGGCTAATAATATTGACCTTAAAATGTTTTTTAAAATTTTTTTTTATTAAAAACTGATTTTATTTTAGCCAAAATAAACAAATAAGACTTTCTTCAGAAGAAAAAATAATATCAGAGATACTGTGAAAATTTTCTTGATCTGTTAAACATAATTTTTTTTGTAAAAGTATTAGTAATGAATTTGTTTATATATGCGTTTGTTTGTTTTTATTTTCATTAACAAAATCTGTATGTTAGCATTAAGATTTTTTAAGATTAAAAAATAGGGAACTCCAGCAAGACTTGTAATAAAGTAGAACATTTTATGAAATAAAATAAATGACCTTTTTTTAAGATTAAAAAATAAAATTTTCAATCAACATTAATTAATTTCTCAATAGTTAATACTGACATGTATGTTGTTACAGTAGAATTCTGTTTTATATAATTATTGTTCAGTTGAATCTCATTTATTAGAAGAATCAGGAAAACATTTTTATTGATTTCCACAAGCACATAAACCAGAACAACTGTTTAAATTAGAGCTGCACGATATTGGACAAATCTGACATTGCAATATTTTGTTTTTCTGCTATAAATATTGACATATATATATATATATATATATATATATATATATATATATATATATATATATATATATATATATATATATATATATATATATACCATTTCACCAGATGATACAATATATACTCACACACACACACACACACACACACACACACACACAATTTTATCAGATGACTTGAAATCTGCTATTTAAAAAATAATTAATTCATTTAGATTGATTGGAATGATTCTGTTGGGAATATATGGGAAATATATATATATATATATATATATATATATATATATATATATATATATATGGGAAATATATGGTGATTTAGGGTTTTTAGGCAGTCAAATAGCACTCTGGAACAAAATTTGGATAATAAAATGTAATAAAACACTGCAAAATTCTTTACTGTAAAAATAATTCAAAACAAGTATTCTTTATTAAAGTTACAAATGCTAAATTTTAGGAGCCTGAATACTTTGAACGCTGTCAGGGCGTAAAAATATGTGCAAATCAAATGCTTTTACTTCATTTTGATTAAAATCTGCAATAACTGTTCAATTCATGTTTATTTATATATCACTTTTCACAATGTAGATTGTGTCAAAGCAGCTTAACATAGTTCTAGTAAAGTCCAGATTTTATAGTTGAAGTTTAGTTCAGTGTGGTTTAAGTTTTACTGCTGAAAGTTCAAACACTGAAGAGCAAATCCACCGAAGCGCAGCTCCTCAAGTCCTGGTTCAAGCAAGCAATTATTAATGATTCATTCATAATTAATATTTTTATTATTACATTATATGCCATGTTATTGTTTTAACATGCCATATTTTATATTACCTTTTATAAATTTCTTGCAAATAAGTGCCCTGGATGATAATGTACTTATTAGAGTTTTTATGACACACAGTTGAAACCAGAAGTTTACATACACTCTAAAAAAAACAAAACCATTTTTAAAAAAATGTCTGATGGTAAAATCACACTAAACCTTTACCCGCTTTAGGTCTCTTAGGATTACCAAAATCATTTACAAACATTTGCAAAATGCCAGAATAAGGAGAGAATTTTTTAGAGAATTTTTTTTCAACAATTTTAGACAGTCAAAAGTTTGCATACATTTCCTTGGTATTTTTTTTAACTGTTTAAACTGTTTAACTGGTCAAATGTTTTGGGTATCCTTCCACAAGCTTCTCACAACAGTATAGAATTTTGGCCCATTCCTCCTGACAGAGTTGGTGTAACTGAGTCAGATTTATATTAGTCTTGCTCCCACAAGATTTTTCAACTCTGCCCTCAAATTTTCTGTTGGATTGAGATCAGGGCTTTGTGATGCCCACACTAAAACATTCACTCTGTTGTCCTTAAAGCTCATTTTAACTACTTTGGCAGTATGCTTAGGGTCATGGTCTGTTTGGGAGACCCATTTGTGGCCAAGTTTTAACTTTCTGGCTGATGTTTTGAAATGTTGCTTCAGTGTTTCTACATAATGTTCTTTCTTCATGATGCCATCTATGCTGTGAAGTGGACCAGTCCCTCCTGCAGCAAAACTTCACAGTTCACAGTTGGGATGGTGTTCCTAGGCTTGTTAGCTTTCCCCTTTGTCCTCCAAATGTAACACTGGTCATTATGGCCAAACGGTTCAATCTTAGTTCCATCAGACCACAGGACATGTCTCCAAAAATTATTCTGTTTCCCAGTGTAATTTAGCAAATTGTAATCTGGCTTTTTTTTTTTTTTTTTTTTTTTTTGATTCTGGCTTGTTGATTTTCCCATATTGTCACACAAGAAAGCAGTGTTTTTCTTAAATACTATATTGTGCCCTGTAACAGTTGTGCCTCCAGTTACCTCAAATGTTGTCAATTAGCCAGTCAGAAACTCCCAAAACTCTGACACCATCATCTGAGCTTTTAAAGAGGCATAGCAATCTTGTTGTATGTTAAACTTGACTTTCAGGAAAAGTTAAAACAATTTCTCAAAAAAATGTTTCTCTCATTATTCTGCTTTTAAGCATAACAGAAACACATTTGATCATCCTAACTTGCCTAAAAGAGAAAAAAGTTTAGTCACATTAACATCTGACTTATAAATGGTTATGTGCCTTTTTTACAGTGTATGTAAACTTCTGGTTTCAACTGTATTATCAATAGATAAGAAAAAAAACCTGCTCAATACAAACTCCTATTATTGGCAACTCAAGAGAAGCGATAATAAGATTTACATTTTTTCTTAATTGTTTCCAGAGGTGTGTTGTAATGTGTATGTTAGAAAAGTGTCAGTATCATATACTTTCCAGCACAATTTTTTAAAAAGCATTATAAAAGCACCAAAAATGTTGCCATATGCATCTTAAGTGCTGTGTTTCTCTAGGTGTGTGTCTTGTTATTGATACATGTCATAAAGGTATGCAACAACATAAGGCTAAGTATAAATGACAATGCAGAAGTTTTTTTTTTTAATCCCTTTTTCTTTTCTCTTAGGACGGAGAGGTGCGGAGACCACTGGAGACAGCCGTCATTTCCACATCTCTTCCTCCTCCTCTGATTCCTCTGCCTGAAAGGAGCGCTGATCTATTGGCTGAAGAGGAGACGGGGACAGAGGCTCCAATTCAGGCCCAGGAGCTCGATTCCAACCAGAGACTGACAGACCTAACCCAGCCTGAGATAGCAGTGGAGGCCCTGAGTGACACGGGGAGCAGCCCTACACAAGAAACACAGACTGATGCAGAAATACAAGAGCTGACAGAAAAGGAGACCGAGGATGACAGCACAACTCATGAGAATAACCACACAGGACAATGCACTGCTGCTACTGACGACTCTACAACACGTCAGTCATTGATCTTTATAACGTTTTGGTAACACTTTAGTTTGTATACCAGTTGTCACTATTAACTGCTGTCTTATTAGCTTAATATTAATAGAATGTTGGCTGTTCATTGTAGATGAATGCTTTATTCTTTATGGTTATATCTCAGATTGCGTTATCCTTCTCCATAGCTAAAGGGTCAGTTCACACAAAAATGACGTTTTAATTTCTATTTACTCATACTCAAGTAGTTCCAATCCTTTTCATTGTCTTTTTTTCTGTTAACACAAAAAGAAGATATTTTGAAAAATGCTGGAAACCGGTAACCATTGACATCCATGGTAGGAATAAATATTACTGTTTACTAAATAAATCCTGTTTACTAAATACTAAAGAAGTCAATGGTTACTGTTGTACAAAACAAGTTCAGAATATCTTCTTTTGTGTTTAACAGAAAAAAGAAACTGAAAAAGGTTTGAAACAAGTGTAGGGTGAGTAAAAGACTGCAGAATTTTTGGTTTTGAGTGAATTATCTCGTTAACAGCACCTTACTAACTAGGGTGTGACGAGATCTCGGGCTATGAGATCTCCTAAAACTAAATCGCGACAAGATTTCTCATTCATTCATTTTCCTTTCAGCTTGGTCCCTTTATTAATCTGAGGTTGCCACAGCGGAATGAACCGCCAACTTACCCAGCATATGTTTTACGCAACGGATGCCCTTCCAGCTGCATCCCATCACTGGGAAACACCCATACACACTCATTCACCACAGACAATTTTAGCTTACCCAATTCACCTACAGTATAGTGCATGTCTTTGTACTTAGGGAGTCACCGGAGCACACGGAGGTAACCCAAACAAACATGGGGAGAACATGCAAACTCCACACAGAAATTCCAACTGACCCAGCGGGGGTTCGAACCAGTGACCTTCTTGCTGTCAGGCGATTGTGATACCCACTCCGCCACCGTGCTGCCTCACAAGTCATGTGAGTTGTAATGTTATGATGAAGTATGAGAGTGAATTTAGCACTGAAGATTGAAGGCAGGATTGGATTTGAACTGCCAATCAGGTGCTTTGCACACACCTGGCAACCCAGGCTGCCTCTGTGTAGCATGTCACTTGTTTGCTTAGACGGGTGTGAATGTTTTTTTCACCGGAGTTTAAAGGTTGCCACATCCAAAAGCATAGATTGCTACAACTGCAGCCACACAAATTAACCATGCGATGGGGTAGCACTTTAGATATGTTTAGAGTCATATTTGTCATAAAAACAAATTGAATTTGTGGAATATTCCTTTTTTAGTCACAAGGCTTTTTTATGTAGCACATTTCATACACAGTGGCAATTCAAAGTGCTTTACATAAACAGGAATAAAAGGAACAAGTATTAGAAAATAAAAACAAAAGATAAAAGTGATTAATAACCGATTAAAATGTGTTAAAACAGGTTTTAAAAGAATGAAAAAGAAAAGAAAGATATAATAGTGCGATCTGTGGGATGTTGTACAGTGCTCATTCAGTAAAGGCACATTCAGTAAACACCTTAATCAAACTACTAGTATCATGTTGGATTTTTAGCTGCATTTTGCAACAGGATAAGCCATACACACACGGCTGTTTGACACTATTCTCTGCACCTACCAAGTCAGTAAAGCATACACATTTCCTCCTGGAGACCCACACACCCATCGTCATCATTTGTGCCGTCCGGTAAAAACAAGTTTTCTTTTCATTCGGCATTCAGTATCAAATGCCATTAAACAGCTTTCTTCTGTTAGTTCATACTCTCATCCAGTAGCTCACAGTTTGTCCAGTCAGTAGAGTTTATAGCAAAATATTTTGCAGTGTTTGCATGTCCTTTACAGCGTAGAATTAATTAAAATACAAGTAAAATAACATTTACTACAAGTTGATTTTTAAAAAGCACATAAATTGTTTTGCAATTTGTGATTTGTTTTAAGTTGAATAAAAGAAAAACATTTTCCATTCATATATTTTATTGAGGATTCCAAAAAAGTATTAAAAATCTTATGAACCCTATCTCATGTCTAGTCTCATCTCGTGGAATAAGCGTCTTGTCACACCCCTTTTACTAACCATTAATAAAGAGCCAATTAGACGTTTATTTGGAGGCAAAAGTCATAGTTAATAGTTAATATTGTGAATTGGTCTCCAAACTAAATCTTATTTTATCTAATTTAATATTTGATTAAAATTTAATAAGTTATTACCTTTAATGATGATTGTTAAAAATAAAAATTGCCATTAAAAATAAAAGTTTTAAACAATGGTTTACTGCTCCATTGCAGATGCTTCGCCTGAAATGCCAGGCTCTCCAATCGACCAGTTGGAAGAGTTTGATGCACTGTTTGACTCAGGATTGGAGGACTATTCCTTCAAAGCTCCGCCTCTGCTTTCAGACACAGACCTCGCTATTTTTGACCCTTGTGTCAAAGAAGGTGGGAGAATCTATTCAGTTTGACTTACCATGTCTACATGCAATTGTTTTTTAAAGCAAAGTCTCACTCTCATAGCTTGATTCAATCTCTCAGATCAACCGTACGGATCACCCAGCCATGCTGAACTCCTGTCTGCTCCTCTGTGTGGTTCAAATGGGACGGATTCTGCTGTAGATGTTAGTTATGTGTACCAGGCCAATGAAGAGCTGAATGCTGCCCAGGAACAAGAGAGAGAAGGCAACTATAGCACAGCCGTACAGCGATACAGGGCGGCTGTTGATATATTTATGAAAGGAGTGCAAGGTAAGACATGGAGGCTGTTTGCATGCACATTGCAACACTAATTGATATTTTGCAGTATGTAATACAGTTGAAGTCAGAATTATTTGCCCCCCTGTTTATTTCTTTTAATTTTTTGTTTTATTGTTACAATTTTTGTTTAAAGGAGAGATTTATTTAACGCATTTTAAACATAATAGTTTTAGTAACTAATTTCTAATAACTGATTTATTTTATCGTTGCCATGATGACAGTAAATAATATTTGACTAGATATTTTTCAAGACACTTCTATACAGCTTAAAGTGACATTTAAAGGCTTAACTAGGTTTATTAGGTTAACTACGCAGGTTAGGGCAATTAGGCAAATAATTATATAATGATGGTTTGTTCTGTAGACTATCAGAAAAAGATAGCTTAAAGGGGCTGATCATTTTGACCTTAAAATGGTTCATAAAAAATTTAGAACTGCTTTTATTCTAACTGAAATAAAACAAATAAAACTTTCTCTACAGTAAAAAATATTATCAGACACACCGTGTAAGTTTCTTTGCTCTGTTAAGCATCATTTGGGAAATATTTAAAAAAGAAAAAAAATCAAAAAGAGGCTAATAATTCTGACTTCAACTGTATATAATTGGTGCAAATTTTCTTTATGAAAAATGTCTGGATACTAAACACAACATTGGTTACATATCATATATTTAACAAAAACACACAATTGGGAAAATAGCATCCCACAATGCACTGTGCTTGACCAGACGTTCTATTTCTTGTGTGACTAATTAACTGAAAGGTTATGAATTAATTTTGAAATACAATTTAGAGACGCTGCTGTTCCAGAGTTTGTGGTAGACATAAATTTTTTTTAATGTTTCTTGTATTTTACAAGACTGCATTTATTGAATCAAAAATGTAGTTTAATCAACAATTTTATGAAATATAGGGTCACACTTTACAATAATGTTCCATTCGTTATGTTAGTTGTTTGTATTTATTAACATGAACTTAAATTGAACAGTACATGTACAGCGTTTATTTATCATATTTTAATTTGTACTAGTGCATTATTAAAATGTAAAATTGTGCTTGTTAACGTTAGTAAATGCACAGTTAACAAGAATTTACTATGAACATCTTTATTTCATTAGCCAACGTTACTAAAGATGGTTAAGTATTGTAATAAATGTATTGTTTATTGTTCATTTGTGATTGTCAATACATTAACTAACATTTATGGAACCTCATTGTTAGGTGTTATTGATATAGTTTATCATGTTTTTCATGTTAACTTATTTCAGTTTTAATATATTTTTTCAAATTTGTTCCTGTGAATCATTACTTTAGTTTTTAGTGTCACATGATCTTTTAGAGAGCATTTTAATATGTAGACATGGGGCCCGATAATGATTTCTTATTTATGTTATCAATGTTGAGTAAAATAAATATTCTTATTTTTCTTAGAAAACATATACAATAACCATATACAATCCAATCTAGCCCCAACAAAGCAATCCCCAAATAAAATAATACAAATCTGAAAAATAAAATAATAATAATAATGAAATAAATACAAATACAGAAAAAACTAATTATAAAAAACCGTATATATATATATATATATATATATATATATATATATATATATATATATATATATATATATATATATATAATATATACTTACACAATCCACATTTAAGGTTTTTAAATCATTAAAAAATGCAAAAAATTGTTGGCAGTTTTCCGACAACTGTTCTCCTCTACCTCTGATATTGCATTTAACATATTTCTAAAGGTGCTGGTTGACTTGACATTGTCACCAGGTGTCAGTAACAACCAAAGTAATTCATACATATAAAGCAAACAAAACTAATTAGTTTAGAAATTAACTTTTGTGTGTTCAAATAAATGAAATGACAAAGGGGAACAGTATTGAACACATGAAAAAACTGGGGTATTAGAGGTCATGGAAATCCTAGACAGCAGACAGCATGAATATAAGCTGCTTTATTCCAAACATCTACACAACCAGATGATGAAGATGAAAAAGGGTTGATATTAAAGCAAGACAATGATCCCAAACACAGGCAAGGAAAATCTCAATGGGTCTCAGAAAAAAGAAAATAAATCTGCTAGAATGGCCCAGGCAATCACCTGACCTGAATCCAATAGTAAAAATGAATTAAAGTGGATAGACAAAACCCACAGAACCGTCAAGACTTTTAGACTCTGTTGATGTTTGGGGGAAAAAATTACACCTAAGCAATGTATGCAACTCCATTCTTCATACTACAAGCTGTCATTAGCATAAGTACATTTCAGTAGTTCAGTACCTTTTTCTTGTGTCGTTCCATTGTTATTATGCATAACAAATTTTTCTGAATTGGATGTTCGGATTGTTTGATACAGAGTTTGAGTTGTTTGGGTTTTTACCAAAATATGCATCAAATTCATGTCAACAGCTCCTTTAGAAATAAATGGCATTTTCAATTTTAAATGTTTATCTTAACCACTATTATTATTATTATTATTTTTATTATTATTATTATTATTATTATTAATAATATTATTATTGCCGGCAGCTAGCTCTCTGCAACTTTCAAATGGTCCACCACTGGAGCTAAGCAGAGCTGCTCCTAGTCACTACCTGGATGGGAGACCACATGGGAAAGCTAGGTTGCTGCCAGAAGTGGTGTTAGTGAGGCCAGCAGTGAGCCGCTCAGCCTGCGTCTGTGTGGGTCCTAATGCACCAGTATAGTGAAGGGGACTCTATACTGCTCCGTGAGCACAGTTTTTCTGATGAAACGTTAAACAGAGGTCCTGACTTTCTGTGGTCGTTATTATTATTATTAATAATAAAATAATAATCATAATAATAATAACAAATAATAATTATTAATTTTTATTATTAATAATAATGCTATTAATAATAATAATATAATAATATAATTATTGTTTTTATTGTTATTAAATAATATTATTAATAATAATCATTAGTATTATTATTATTGTTATTGTTATAACAATAATAATTATAATATAATATAATTAATATTATTATTATTATTATCTAATAATAATATAATTAATGTTATTATCATTTTATTTTTATTATTATTAATATTATTATTATTATTATTGTTATTATTATTATTATTATTACTATTATTATTTGAAATCTAAATATTTTGTAACAATAACTTGTGTCACCTTACAACAATCATACACACTGCAGCCATAGGTTACTGAACTTTCTGAAGTAGTTATTTTCACTGCAATTTTTTAATAAACAGCATGACCAAAACATTGCCGTCTCATTAAACATGTTTCCCTCCTGTTTTCCATCAAAAGAAAAATCAAATTGAAAAACTGGCTCCATATGCAGATTACAGATCGTAAATCAGCCAAATGCCAATTTACTGTGGTCAGGATGACCCTGGCATGATTAAATTAGTGGAGAGGTAAGAGCAGAGTACCTCTCAACACAAGGCCATTACATCCAGTGTTTTCCCCCCTCAAAGCAGGAAATAAGCTTTGTTTGGATGCAATGCACAATATATAAATGATAGGAGGAAACGAAACCTCACAACATCCATTTGTTCTACCCTTTTTTCTCTTGTCTCTCTATTACTCATTCTCTCCCGCTAGGAGATGTAGATTTGAAGAGGAGAGATGCGGTGAAGAGGAAGATTGCTGAAGTCCTAGAGCATGCGGAGAGACTTCTGTCCATACAGACTCCCACTCACAACCACAATACATAGAGAAACCGCTTGAACGCACACACACATACTAACTGAAGCTTCATCAAACCTGGGGTACCCAAGCACACTCCCACATACATACTCTCATCAACTGAGTTTTGACTAGCACACACACATATTGAAACAATTCCATCAGTGTTTCACTTAAGTGCAACTCACCAGCCACCCACACGTCAACACACACACACACGCACACACACACTCACTCTGACTCCAATAGTTACACCTGTAGCATCATGTGTCCAACAGTGCTACAAGGGTTTCATTTAATTCAACACTATTAAAAGCTAATATTTTGACACCTTCTGAGACTAATGAACTGGAAACATCTTCAGAGACTTTTCTTTGATTTATTTTTAATCCGACGGTTGTACTGTTCTGTGAATGAAGCTACTGTAAGAGACTCTGATCTTAATGAAGATGTTGCTCTTTCGTGTGAATCTGCCTGTTTGTAAATTACAGTTAATTTAAAAGATAAATTGTTATAATCAACATTAAATGACATTTGCATCTTTTTATTTCCGTGATGTTAGGTTTTAAGCTGTAATGTAAGAGTCAGTGTGCGTTCAGGGACTTTATTCCATTCTCTGGTAATTGACTGGATTTGTACAGTAGGTATTTTAGATCAGACTTAATACTTGATTTTAAAGGACTTCCTTCACTCCACACACTCTCTTGCCAACCAAATGGTGCCGATTCTCCTTAAAAAGATCCTCAAAAATTTAAAATCATCATGTGCTCACCCTTTTACTTGTTTCAAATCTTTATGAGTTTCGTGTTAAACAAAAAAGAAGACATTTTGAAGAATGATAGAAAACTGTAACATTGACTTCCATAACATTTGTTTTCATGTAAGTCTATGGTTACAGGTTTCAGCTTACTTTGAATAATCTTATTTTGTGTTCAACAGAACTTGAGGGTGAGTAAATAGTGAGTCGATTTAAATTTTTTGAGTGAACAGATGCCCAAACAAGGGCCCGCGGGCCAAATGTGGCCCATGTTAACCTTTGATTTGGCCCGCCATTCCATCTTAGAAGAGTGGGAGAAGGTCGGGTCAAATGCCTTTGACAGAGATCGTCATTTCTAATTTAACGTAACCTTTTGTTTGTTTCTTTCATTGTTGAGCTACAAATTAAATATTTCAAATAAATGTGCATGAATCAGATTTTTAAAAACATAATTACTGTCAACCAAAGATAATGCACATGGCATTTATGAGAAAATCAATAAAGTTTTCATTTTTGAATGTAAAATATATATATTTAGTTATTAATACAAAGTATTTCTTCTAATTATTTTTAAATCTTAATCCGCTTGTTAAGTGGTGACGTATGTACTACTGTTTTCAAGTCCAAGCCGCCACTCATTTGGATTGAGAAAATATTCTTTTATGATCACTTTTTATTCACATCACACATTAAAGTGAATTTTATAAGTCATAGTGTACACAACAATCTCTGGGCTTGCTGCATCACAAATACCAAAATTGTAACAATTTATAAAAAAAAAATTAATCACTTTCTGGCCATCAGATATTAGGCATAAACCTACAGTATATATTGCGATTGTGATTTTCGAAAGTATTACATCGCTTTGTAAACGTTTATTATTACCATTTCACGAGTCTCCCCATACAGTTTGATGGAGCGCTTGGACCCGGAGGCCACTTCGTGCGGCATCACACTCAACAAGCAGATAAATTAGGAAATTACCGTGGCAACTTTAATGTAAACTTTAACGTATATGGTATATTTACCTCTGACCCACCACCCTCAATCAAGTTGTGTTTTTGTTCTTTCATATGAATAAGTTTGGAATTTATTTAGAATATTCTGATGAAACTATGGATTAATAGTTTTTTGACTGTTAGTGAATGTTGACCAATGGTGTTTTGAGCAGCTTCCATATTCTATATGATATCACAGGTCACATTGAGTCCTGTTGTTTTCTTGAGCTGTTTTATTCAAGAGATATTTTATAGGAGCTACTAAAGATAGACATAACTGATGTCAATTACATTGAGAGTTAGCTATTTAAAGTGCAGGCTAAAACACTTCCGATTCTAGAGAGAATTTGATTGGACATAAAAGCAGACTAGAAGCTGAAGTGCAGAGTGATGTCATCGAAATCAATGATTCATTGGTTGAAAATTTTAATTTTTGTAGTATTGGAGCATACTAGGTAATAGTAACCTTAAAAGGACACAACAGTTTTTTTTGCAAATAGGCTAATTTTGCAGTTTTACTATTTTTTTTTTAAATCTATTCAGCTGATCTTCTGCTCCGGCAGAGAACATTTACAGTAGCTTAGGCAAGACAAGGCAAGAAATATAGCACATTTCATACAAAGTGCTTTACATAAACAGGAATAAAAGAGACAAGTATAAGAAAATAAAAGTGATTAAAAACAGATAAAAATGTTTTAAAACAAAAGTTTATAAAAGAATAAAAAACAAAAGAAAGACATAATAGTGCGATCTGCTGGACGTAGCACAGTGCATATTCAGTAAAGGCACAGTTAAATGTGTTTTCAGTCTTGACTTGAGCTTAGCCTTGCATAGATCATTGAATTGGATTATAGAATTTGCTGTCATACTATGGCTGCCTGAAAATAGTCCCCAGCTAGGTAACAACAGTACATGTAGGTAACATCGTTGTGTATTATCATTGCTTTTTCTGCAACCACACTGTAAAAATATATATATTATTTTTCTTTTTCAGACAGCGCATATTAAAATTTTTGGAAACTTCTGTAATTTAACGTTAGTTATTTCATGGTAAATAATAGCCATTATCATTCAGTAAATTTCTGTAATTTATTGTTTTTACGGTAAATGTTTGTTATTGACAGTCTTTTTTACAGTAAATTTCTATAATTTAATGGCCCTTATCTTACAGTAAATTTTTGTAATTAACAGCCTTTATTTTACGGTAAATTTCTGTAATTCAATGGCCATTATCTTACAGTAAATTTTTGTAATTCACAGCCTTTATTTTACGGTAAATTTCTGTAATTCAAGGGGCCTTATCTCACAGTAAATTTTTGTAATTAATAGCCTTTATTTTACGGTAAATTACTGTGATTTAACATCTGTTATTTTTTGGTAAATTTCTGTTATTTAATGGCCATTATCTTTTAGTAAATTTTTGTAACTAACAGCCTTTATTTTACTGTAAATTTCTGTAATTTAATGGCTTTTGTTTTACAGTAAATTTCTGTAATTTAACATTTGTTATTTTATGTTTAATTGTTTTTAACTAATGGGCATTATTTTACGGTAAATTTCTATAATTTAATGGCTGTTATTTTGCAGTAAATATCTGTAATTTAACAGCGGTTATTTTATAGTAATTTTCTGTAATTTAACAGCCGTTATTTTACGGTAATTTTTTTGTAATTAGCGGTCTCTATTTAACAGTAATTTTTTGTTATTTAATGGCCGTTATGTTACAGTACATTTTTGTAATTAGCAGCCATTATTTTACAGTAAATTTCTATAATTTAATGGCTGTTATTTTGCAGTAAATATCTGTAATTTAATAACCGTTATTTTACAGTACATTTCTGTAATTTAACAGCCACTATTTTGCATTAATTTTTTGTAAATAACGGTCGTTAATTTACAGTACATTTCTGTTATTTAATGGCCGTTATTTTACAGTTCATTTTTGTAATTTAACGTCTGTTATTTTATGGTAGATTTCTGTTATTTAATGGTCGTTATTTTATGGTAAATTTCTGTAATTCAATGCCAGTTATTTTACGGTAAATATCTGTAATTTAACAGCTGTTGTTTTATAGTAAATATCTGTAATTTAACAGCTGTTAATTTATAGTAAATTTCTGTAATTAACGGCCATTATTTTACGGTAAATTTCTACAATTTAATGGCCGTTTTTATATTTTAGTTTCAACCCTAATTAAACGCACCTGATCAAAGTAATTGAGTCCTTCAGGCTTGTTTGAAACCTTCAGGTAAGTGTGTTAAAGCAGGGTTTGAACTAAACTGTGCAGAGCTGTGGTCCTCCAGGAACTGGCTTTGACATGTTCACAATAAAAAAAAACAATAAACCAATTTTTCTATTTTCCGGGGACTTTAAGGCCCAGCCATATCACCGTCATTTTATACTGCTGTTTACACTTTCATGACCTTCGCCATAAAGTCTGCACTTCCTATTTAACCGAAAAGGAAAGTTGGGGGGCAACAGTCAATATGTGTCATGTTGACAGTTTCTTCATTACACCACCAGATGTCACTGTTTCCCCCAAAAGAGATCAAGACATCAGCAGATAAACCCACATCTCTCAGGGCCGCCGTGCTAAAGGACCGCCGTTCACACTTTGGCTCAGTTTCTGTTGTGGGGTAAAAGGGAGAGAACGAATATAAAGGACAAAAAGGATTACAAAGCTGAAAGAACTAAGGGATGAGCCCAGGATGAGCGTGGATCATCTCTATTGTCAGTGGATGGAAAAAATATCCCTCTCTTTCCCCTCCTACTGTTGTTTTCTCTCTCTTTCTCGCTCTCCCGTCGGGCTTGTGTATTTGCTGTTTTGGCTGCCCGGAGAGAGAATGTGCAATGGAGAGAGGTTACCGCACCTGTGTGTTGGTGTGTGTGTGTGATGAAGAGAGTGACAAAAAGGAAAGCGGGGGGAGATGGAGTGTGTTTGGGCATTAGCATGCTGAGAGTGTCAGCTCTCCATGTCCCTCTCTCCCCCTCTCCATCCCTCATTCTATCTCTCACTCAGCAATCCCTCTCTCCTCAGTGTCCATGGCAATTATACCATCAAAACACTCCAGCCAAAGAGGATAATTGCAACCTGAGTACTGCGGAGAGACTGAGAGGCAGAGTGAGTGAAAAATGTGTGCGTTTTCTCACATCTGTGGGATCTGAGCGCGAGTCGCTGCATTATATTGTATTCCTGAGCTTCTCCACAGTCATTTCGGTCAGAGATCAAAGAATATGTTTGCGGTGCTGAGAGGACAAGGACAATCTATTGAAGACACATGCACACACTCGCAGTTTTAATAATGGCATTACTGCAGTCAGTTTGCCGAAACTCAAGGTCAGAGGTGGAAACTCGCAACGGAGCTTTGGTAAAGAGGGGTTTTAGCAGAAAGCTGGTGAAGCTGTGGCTCAGCTGAAGCCAGTGGTGGGATGGCTACATTTAGTGCTTGAGTGGTTTCTGTAGAGCAGGCTGCTGATATATAACACAGGGCTGTGGGTAACGTTCACAGGCCCAAACAATGGGTCCGTCTCGAATAGCTCTCGAGGTCGTGAATCGGTAGGTCATGTCCATGAATTCGGGCAGTTGAAGGACAGTGATGAGCTCGGTTCAATAGACATTGGGACATTGAGCGTTAGGCAAGGCAAGCTTATTCATATAGCACATTTCATCCACAAATACACAAATCAAAATGCTTTAATTACATAAACAGCAATAAAAGAGACAAGTATTGGAGAATAAAAAAAACAAATAATGAAAGTGATCAAAATGTGT